GTGTTTTCAGAACGTGTGCACGTTGGATGCAGTTGGAAAATGCCGCCCTGATTCCAAAGTAATAGATATAGGCCCATTATGAAAAATTCCAACCTTTAGAGAAGTTCGAGGAGACGGAAAGTTAAAAGTGATCCATAGTAATGTCTCTAAGAAAGCTACTACACGCAGTAAGGTAGGTCATGTTTAACCCACGCTGTGAGGCCGCAGATAGTAGGACCGAACACTATCTGAAGTGCTTAAGAAAGGAAGGCCTTCCTGGGGGAAGGACTGAGGTATGTGTTTACCACCATATCCTGTTCTCTATCTGGGTGAAAAAGAAAGCGAGAAAGGAATCTCAGCAGAGGCTACTGGGACTCTGGGTAGGGTTCAACAGGGAGACCCGTCCTTGCTTACACCACAGAGCAACAAACTTCTATAGATTTGATTGCCGCCCCTGATAGCAGCCGCTGCTTGCACAAAGCCCACAAAGCCGACAGCCTTGATGAGCAGCTGGCGAACTTGGAGCACGTATAAGACAATCAGAGGAAGTCTACGTATAAACCTCCCCATGCGAGGAAAGGTGGTTTTTCCATTTGCCCTTTTCTGAGCAATTTAACTTCCTAATTACATGATCCAGATTGTTTCAGAGACTATGTAAACCATATGTTTGTTAAATGATAGAGACAAACATGGGGAAGTCTGATTAGCATCAACTTCCCTCAGGAAAGGGGTGGCTTTCCCTAAGCCTGGCTTAGCCTGCGTTATCCTTATTGGACGCGGGCAAGGAAGCCGAGGAAGGGAATAGTGTGCAAGTAGCCGCGTCTGGCTGTGGGTTCTCCCCCCTTCTTTCAGCTGAGGCACATAGTGTGATGCAGAGCTATCCTTTGGTAGTAGCATGAGCGAGTAGGTGCCGGCTGACACCAGCGGAATGAATGTCCTCCAGTATTTTTTTTTTAAAGATTGATTGATTGATTGATTGATTGATGATAGAGAGAGAGAGAGAGAGGCAGAGACCCAGGCAGAGGGAGAAGCAGGCTCCATGCAGGAGCCCAACGTGGGACTCGATCCCAGGTCTCCAGGATCGCGCCCTGGCCTGCAGGCCGCGCTAAACCACTACGCCACCAGGGCTGCCCGTCCTCCAGTAGTTAGCAGATTCAGAGAGGAGAAAATACAGTTATTTTGAACCTTTATGAGAGTGAGTGTGGGAGTGTGTGTCGGGGCGGGGAGAGTGTGGACGTGCTAGCCAGAGGAAGTTGCTTTTTAGTTTCGTTCCATTGGGTTTGAACAGTAGAGGGTGAGAATAAATAGTCAGTTTATTTCGCTACTGTTAAACGAAACCAGGGTTTTTTTCTTGAAACATAAATTTGTTGAAAGAGTAGTGAAGATGTCGCAAACATTATTGATTATGTCATGAAGACGTTTACAGGTCTAAATGAAATAATGGTACTGGGTGATGGCTATTGAATCTGTTAAAAACCAAACCAAACCATGTTTCCTGCATCCTATTTTGGATTCAGGAGTGCAAACAGTGGGGCAAGTTCCCTGTTCGGGCACAGTCAGTGACACAGATGTGCAGGTGTGTAGAAGCGGATACCTCGAGGTGAACTCACATAGATATAAATAAAGTGGCCACAGTTCGTCTTCCCAACTGGACATTGGAGAAGGCAACAGGCATAAATGAGGTCACACGGTCACCCCAGCTCTTAATGCTGTTGTGGTTGTCATTGCTTAAGAGAACAATGAGGAAAAAAAAAAAACACTTAATTTTTCTACTTTTTCTGGCTTTCATTGTTCCCAAAGGATAAAGATTCAGAGCATCAGTGAAACACACTCGCAGAGTATTATTTGTATCTATACAAACACTGGGGAAAAGAGGAACTCAGAAAATTAAGAGGAAAAGAAAGACTGAACTAGTTTATTCATGCTCATTTACGAAGCTTTCCTGGGGCCTCTGGGTCTTGAACTCTCCTGGGGACCACCGAATAGATGGAACCACTTTAAGCTGATGACGGTTTGGAACTTGAGTCATCTCGAATGATGGCTTTATGGCAGATACAGCCCTTTACCTTTTATTTTTTTATCTTTTTATTTTTTTTTTTGGAAATATGAAGAATACTTGTGCAACGTCATTGGTTAAGGCACTGTCTGAATACTCCTATTCACAACATTAGGATGCTTGGATTTCTCTGAGGAAACAAAGAACTATTTTTATCTGGAAATGGGTGTCTTTGACTAACAGGTCATCTTGTTTAACTTTTGTGAGTTGGACCGAAAGAAGTAACTAGGAGGTAGAGAAAGAGGATGATAACAAAGAAGCCCTCATTCATCTTGTTCTTTCTCTTGTTTCGATGTTGTTGAGGTTTGCTTTTTGGTTTTTCGGGTGTTTTTTTTTGCTTTTGTGTTTGGCAGTTTGGTTTTTATCCTGAGTCATGTGCTATTAAATCCATGCTTAAGAGATCTAGATAATATTGTAAACTTTTCCTGCTCTGCCAAAAATTGACTGCTTTGTTTCTGGTAAACAAGATTTTATTTATTTATTTATTTATTTATTTATTTATTTATTTATTTATTTAACCTGGAGTTGTCTGGGTGGCTCAATTAGTTAAACATCAAACTCTTGATTTCAGCTCAGGTCTTGATCTCAGGTTGTGGGATTGAGCCCGCATCAGACTCTGAGCTCAGCGGGGAGTCAGCCTGAGATTCCACCTCTGGCCCTCCCCATGCTCATGCTCTGTCTCTCACTCTCAAATTTGTGTGTGTGTGTGTATATATATATAATGTTTATTTGTAAAATGTATTATCCTGCTTTCTTCTTTTTATAGAAACGATGTGAACTTTGATAAACCGTATTGTGGTGTGAGAAATATTTTATATATCCTAACTCCTGGCTGTGTTGCTCTGTAGGGAATCTCAGAAGAGCTTTGGAAATGATCTTGCCGTGTGAACTTTTAATTAATACGGAGAATTACCCTAGCAACAAGTGAGACAATCAGAAGGCAGGATTTTGCTTATCGTTCATAACTGTGTTTGCTGTTTTTTTTTTTGGGGGGGGTGAGGTATCAAATTAAATTTTGAAAAGATTTTATAAAGTTGTCTAAGGAGAGTCACAAGGAAGTGATTGACAGCTGGAAATGTATACCACTGAATGAAAGAAATTTTAAGAAATCTCTTTTTTTTTTAAGATTTTATTTATTCATTCATGAGAGACACAGAGAAAGGCAGGGAACCTGATGTGGGACTCGATTCTGGATCCCGGGATCAGGACCTGAGCCCAAGGCAGACGCTCAACCACTAAGCCACCCAGGTGTCCCAAAATTTAAGAAATCTTGAGCAAAATAGCCTATCTTGAAATTCCTAGTATAATTGACTAGGCACAAAGAGTTTCCTTTTCTTTTAGTTCCTCGGAGTTTGTACATTTACATTGATTCTTAAATAAGGTAAATAGTCAATTTTGTTCTTAGAATATATTAGAATATATTGAATAATCATCCATTTATTCAACAGTTATTCCTTGAGGTCTCCCATGTTCAGCTGCAGGAGACAGATGCAGGCAGGGTAAAGGGAGGGCCCGATCTAACCAGGGTTGGGATTTGCCAAGGAGGGATTGCAAGGAGTGATTTTAACTACGTACCAAGAAATCCAAGCTGGGTAAGCTAATAAGCATGAAGGAGAGGACGCAAAGTAAGTGTTTAAGAACAGGGGGAAGGTGGTAGAGTCTGTAGCTAAAGAATGGTTGGGTTGAGGATTAGAAGAAGAGGAGGCGAGTTGTAGAGACAGATGGTTGGAGAGGGTGCTTGACATTGGGATTGCAGAGAGGTTGCGGTCGATGGCAATGACAAGGTCTCAGGTGTGATGATGGTCGGGTGGGAGGGCAGAGGGTCAGATGGTTGGGAAGGGGGGGAGTAAGGAAATGAGAAGCCAGGGTAAGGGGAGGCTCCCCTCCGTGGAAATTCAAGAGAGTAGTGGTGGAGAGAGACGGTGAGCCAGTGACTTAACTCGTAAGGGCGGACGACTCCTAACCCATCCAGGAGTCTGTCCCCAACTTTGATTATGGGATAGAGCCGGACAGCAGGAGCTTCAAAGCTCAAGACTTTTGGGGAGGAAGAAGTGATCCTTTTCAAGCAGCAGCTACGAGACACAAACCCACAGAGAGCCTCCAGGGGAGGCCAAGTTTTCTAGCGAGAGCCAAGTTTCTGTTAAGGCAGGAAGGTGAAGGGGCGGGTTCAAGTCTAAGGCTGAGGATTTATAGGATTTTGCTGGATTCCCCACAGGGATCCGTTCTGGGAGGACACAGTAGAAAGGGTTCAGAAACCAGTCGGGGGGTGGGTGCTCAGGGTGGGGGGTGGAGGCAGATGAAGCACGGTCACAGTGCGACGGGAATGAGGACTACTGGGGCTCTGGGGCGCAGGCAGGGAGAACGAAGTCCGTGCCGCTGGCCCCTGAAGCAGGTGGGGGGGCGGCGTGTGTTGGGAGAGGAGGAGTCTCCGCAGACCCCTAGGGCTCTTCTTCCGTCCTGTGCCTAGTGGTTTGGACAAGGCTGGGGGTGAGCCCTTGGTACCCAGAGCGTGGGCAGGTCCGGGACGCCCTCCCTGCTCCGTGGGCCACGGGAGCACTGGGGCAGCGGGCCCGTCCGGGCGTTACCACCCCGCGTGTGGGTCTCACTTGTGATCACAGCCCCCCAGGATAACGGAAGGTGAAGCTAGCGCGTTCAGATTCCCTTTTAATACTGCTTTTAACTTAGCATATGACAGGGAAATAGTAATTCCCAGGCTGAATTTGGGAAGGGGCCGTTGATTCATAAGCAGCGTACGGAATTCAGATTCCAGGTCCTGGTGTGGGGTTTTTTGTTTGTTTGTTTGTTTTGTTTTTGTTTTTTAAATAAATCCTTCTCTTCCTTTCCTTCCTGCCTCCCTCCCCATCACGTTCTCCCCGCGCTTCAAGTCGCACGTGACTGGAAAACGGACAGTGTCACCCTCTTATCCACGGAGTCGCTGACACGTCCTTTTCCCTTTTCCCCGCAGCGAAGAAAGTTACAACGTCAACGATTATTCCTTAAGAGATCAGCTGCTGGTGGAGTCTTGTGACAGTGAAGAGCTTAATTCTTCTCCAGGGAAGAACAGTTCTACGATGCTTTATTCAAGACAGAGCTCTGCTAGCCACCTCTTCACCCTGACGGTCCTCAGCAACCACGCGAGTGAGAAAGTGGAAATGCTGCTCGGGGCCGAGACGCAGTAAGTCTGTGCAGGGACTGGGCCTCCGAGCACCTGCTCTCACTGTTCCCTGCCTGTTGCCCTTGGCCTGAGACGCCCTGAAAACAGCGACGGGAGCTACTGGCTCTGTTGTGCTGAGCACCTACTCTGCGCCGAGCACTGGATCTGTTGCTTCCCGCGAGCTCATCTTTCCGTTGCGACGCCCTCTGCGTCTTGAGAGATGGAGGTTACTACTTTCATCTTCTTGAGTCCTGACGGGTGCATTGTGCCTGAGGTGCTGTGCTTTTGTATTTAGGGAGTGCTTTAAACGTCCCTTCATTTTAATCATCGGTGAAGGCATGACCCACGAGCCATGGGTAGTTGACACCTGGTAGTTTGAGTCTAGACCATGAGTCTTCCTAGATAAGAGGCCTTTTTGCGATCCCCTCCCGTCAGCCAGACAGCCAAGAGCCCAGTGATTTCTATCAGAAGAGACACCCAGTTTGGGGAGACCTTAATGAATCCACTTTCCCATCAGAGTTGATGCAGAGGCTGACTAAGCTTGCCTGCTGTGTGCATCTGTGGCGGCCCCGGGGGCGGGGGTGCCGTCCAGCCTCACGCTGGACAAGGGCAAGGCAGCTTCATCTTCAAATCCACTCCTTTGATTTGGCCCGTTCGGAGGCAACGGTTGCCCCGTGTATTTGCTTAGAAACTGGAAACCTCCCCCGGAAACAGTCCTCACAGGCAAGTGGAGCAGGAGGAGAGGAGAGGAGAGTCCCCCGCTCGTTGTCCCCAGGGATCCTGCACATCCTCCCACTCGGGTCGGCCAGGGTGTAATCAGAGTGGGTCAGCAGCCGGTGGGTAACGACCCTGAGGCTGTAGCAAAGTCTTAGCGAAAGTAGAGCCACGAAGGCATCTCTGGCTCCGGCGAGAGACACCAGAAAAAGAGTGAAATTATAAAGCGTCCAGCGAAAACGTTTCAAAAGGGCCGTTTCATCTCTTTTGGCGCTAGACGTGACTCTTCAAAGGCTGAAGGAGACCGAGAGGGACAGGTTGATGTAAAAGCTACTTGGGATGTGAAAATGGCCAAAACGGAGTATTCCAGATGAACTTGAGAGTTAGCAGAGGGAATGGGCAAGGGAGCTTCATCCTCTGTGTTTATTCATAAAACAAAGAAAGACCTTTTTCTGAGGTCCCAGAGCGCTTCCATGGAATTGCTAGAGCCCCGCCGCGTTCCAGGCGCGCTCTTCGGGGGGCGGGGGGGGCGGTGCGGGTCTGTGCAGGTGGACAGCAGGAGCCTCGTGCAGCACCTGGGATCGGGACGGCCCTTCTTCAACCCGAAAGTGATTAAATCCCTTGGCCAGTGAAGACAGACCCGGCCTTCCTCTGTTGGGGGGAAGCCTCTCTTAAAAAGAGAATTTCGGCCGTTTGAGCTTTGGATCTTCTAGGATTTTTTTACTTTATTTTATCTTTTTATTTATTTTATTTTATTATTTTGTTTTTTAAATTTAAAAAATATTTTATTTTTTTTAATTTTATTTTATATTTTATTTTATGTTTTAAATTTAAAAAATATTTTAGTTTTATTTTATTTAAATTATTTTATTTCATTTTTTATTTTACTTTTTAAATTTAAAAATATTTTATTTTATTTATTTATTTATTTTATTTTATTTTATTTTGTTTTTTTAAGTAGGCTCCATGCCTGACTTGGAGTCCACTGTGGGGCTTGAACTCACAAACTTGAGGTCAAAACCTAAGCGGAGGGACACCTGGGTGGCTCAGTGGTTGAGCGTCTGCCTTGGGCTCAGGCCGTGACCCCGGGGTCCCGGGATCGAGTCCCACGTCGGGCTCCCCGCAGGGAGCCTGCTTCTCCCTCTGCCTGGGTCTCTGCTTCTCTCTGGGTCTCTCATGAATAAAGAGATAAAATCTTAAAAAAGAAAAAAAAAAAAAACCTAAGCTGAGATCAAGAGTCGGAGGCTTAACTGGCTGAGCCGCCCAGCTCCCCCGACCCCGCACCCCTTCATATATGACTTTAAGGATGAAAACGTCTGAAAAGCTTTGGAGGTTAGTGCTTGTCCAGACCTGCTAGAGGAATCTCCGGAGCAGACGTGGGCTAGTGGGTCGTAGTTAGCGACGGCGAAGCGGTGGAAGCGTGACTGGTTTCGCTTTGCGTTTTCCTTTTCTCTTTACTGAGGGTTGTTTGTTCCCTGTTCCGGTCTTGCCGCGTCAGCAGAGCCTCCCCTGCCCCTCTCATACCCGATGTCACCTCCCCCTCGTTCCTGACGTTATCCCAGGAGCGCAGGCCGTAAAGGGACACGCCGGGCCGGGCCCTTTGTGCACACCGCGGCTCGCTCCTTCCCGGGCACCTGCCGCAGCATCTGTTCACCCTCTTGCCTTTTGACGTTGGCGTGGACGGAGAGGATGCGGGCCTCCCCGGTCACGGAGGTTCTCAGGACGTCGCGTCGGGCCGCCCGCACGTGGGGTGGGCCTGGGCCTCTCTCGGATCCGTGGTTCCTGATTGAGGGCGCAAGGGGCGACGGGGCAGGTCTCCGTGGGTGGAGGAGCCCCCCCCCCCCCCCCCCCGACTCCAACTCAGTTGCAAAGTGAATAAACGGGCGCCTCGGAGCGCACACGGCCTGGGACGGCCGCGCTGCGGACGCGAAGCCGGTTACGGCCAGAGGCACCTCTCTCCGAAGCAGCACCCGGCCGTTGAGAGGGCCCGTGAGTCGTGTCGCGTGTGGACACGTGCAGGTCAGCCCTGGCCTCACCTCGACATGAGCGATCAGAGTTTTGGTCTGTGTAGACTATTAATTCTCTTTGCTTCTCAGATTTTGCAAAAACGTGTAGGCGAGGGTGGTTAAGTGTCCCCTCTTTTACGTTGTATGTGGTTCTCACGGTCTGTCAGCAAACTGGTTGGGAGAACAAGGTTCGCCCCATTCTGGCCTTGTCATACTTGCAGAACTTTGGTCACGTACGTTTGTCCTTTGGTTACTTATTCTTCGGTTGGGAAAAAGGGAAAAAAAAACGTAACTGTTGACCTCCTTGGAAAAACTGTTGTCGGTAGGAAGGGTGTGGCCCGTGGACCCAAGGCCAGGTCACGCTTTGGAAGACGGTGACATTGTGGAACTGATCGTAGCTTCGATTAGCTGAGAATGTAGCAAAGGGCAGCCCGGGGGGCGCAGCGGTTTGCGCCGCCTTCAGCCCGGGGCGTGATCCTGGGGTCCCGGGATCGAGTCCCGCATCGGGCTCCCTGCACGGAGCCTGCCTCTCCCTCTGCCTGGGTCTCTGCCTCTCTCCCTCTCTCATGAATAAATAAAAAAAATATTTTTAAAAAAAGCGGGGGGGGGGATGCCTGTGGAAACAACAGGGCGGTGAATTTCGGGCGTCCCATTGTTCGAGATACTTCTGGAATAAAGTACCGAGTGGGCGGTGCGGGCCCACTGGCCTGAGGGGACGCTGGGACGAGGCCTGTGTGGCCGGGCTTGACCGTGACTTGGCCGGGTCGGGGTCGCCGGGGGTGTCCGACAGGTGGGTGCCTGGGTCTGCGACTTGCGGCGCGAGCGGCGGACACCGCGGGCCAGGCGGCCCCTCCGCAGCCCCGGGGGACGGGCCTCCCCAGCGGCTCTCGCACCCTAGCCCCTCTGCGGGGCCCTAACCTGTCACCTGAGCGCTCTTAGCCTCCCCTGGTGGTGGCCAGTCGTGACCAGGCAGCCCCACTGCTGTCCCTAAGCGCGCAGGTCTCTAGGGGAGCCCTGGGCACCTGTGCGGTCCGCGCACCCCGAGACCTGCTGCTGTTCCCACGAGCCCTCCTCTGCAAAGCTGCTGCATCTTTTTTTTTTTTTTGAAGATGGATTTATCTGAGGGAGGGAGGGAGCGAGTGTGCAAGCAGTGGGGGGGGAGAGGGAGGGAGGGAGAGTGTGCAAGCAGTGGGGGGGAGAGGGAGACAACCCGAGGGAGGCTCCGGGTGAGCGCGGGCTGACCCGGGGCAGGACCCCACAACCGAGGCTGCGCCCTGGTGCCCCCCGCGGGCTCCCCCGAGCCTCCCCCGCCCCCGCCCCGTCCGTTTGCAGGGTGGGAGGACTCCTCCGTGCGCTCAGCTGTGTCCGTGTCACCTGGCGTAGCAGGTTCCCAGCACGTAGGTTGGGAGGTGAGCCCCTTGCGAGTCTTACACACTCGCACCCGGAAGCCCGCCTGGCCGCCGCCCGTGTCCCCGCCGTGGCCTCTGCGCTGCCGGACACGCAGCTGCCTCTGGATTCCGCCGGCCTGGCCACGTCGGCGTCGGGACTCCGGTGGCTTGGGTGGCGGTCCTCTGGCCACAGGACATGCGTCCAGGGTGCCGCCACCCTCCCCACCTGGGCCCTCCTGGGGCACCTGGGGGCCTGGGCACGAGGCCCCAAGGGCAGCGGCAGGTGGCACCCCGGCCGCCTGGGTCTGCGGTGGCATCTGTGTGGCGTTTGGGCCCGAGCGGCCGCGGTGCTGAGACGCGGGGACGGGCCCCGGGAGGGCCGCACGGGTTCTTTGCCCTTCATATTGCAGCTGCAGGATAGGGTCCCCTCACCCCGTCCCCAGGGACCCTCCTCAGAACGTGTCCATCCGCAGGACCTAGCACCCTAAGGGCTGTGGGCCCGACCCCCGCGTCCTGACCAAGGGCCTTGTCGGGGGGAGCCTGGCCTGGCCGCTGCGCCTCCCTTAGGGATCTCGCTGGTGACGGGGAGTACGTGGGATGGGGTGACACTGTCCGCTGTCCTCGTGTGTGACACGCTCCCAAGACCCGTGTCCGCCCAGAAGAGCCCAGGAGAGATGGTCATTTACCTGGAGCAAACCTAGGTCTTACCGGTGGCAGCATGTGCCCCTCGCCGCATCCGGAATCCGCTTCCAGGAGCCCCGTCGGGGAGCTCGGGTCCTCCGGGGGCCGCAGCACCCACCCCGGAAAGACAGGCGGGCAGGCGACACTAGCGGGTCTTTGGTCATCGAGGAAACAGGGATTGACCCACTTTCAGGGTTTTTCAGGCTTCCGAGGTCCTGGGGTCCCTGAGCAGGGCTCCTTGAGGTCCTGGGGTCCCCCAAGTGGGGCTCCCCAAGGTCCTGGGGCCCAGGGTCCCCCCGAGCGAGGCTCCTCGAGGTCCTGAGGCCCAGGGTCCCCTGAGCGGGTCTCCTCGAGGTCTGGGGTCCCTCCGCTCCAGGAGCGGGACCCCTGGAAGAGGAGGAGGCGCGTGGGCAGGTGTGCGTCGGGAGCGCCAGCACCGTATCAGCCTCGATCCTGCTACGTGACTTTCCAGATCAAAAACCGGGGATGACTCTATCCTGGAGAGACGCTTAAGTGAGGCTTCTGACCTCTCGTGAAAGGACTACCTGGTTCCGTGTCATCGCAAAGCTTATTATTTAAAAAGTCTGTTATTCCTTGAAAAAAAAAAAAAAACTTTTGGCTCTGTTCATTGTTTGGAGCACTTGCACACGGTCCAAAAAAAAAAAAAAGTTAAAAGAACTTAGTTCAGGAAGGCTCAGGTTGGACGGTATTAGCTGCAAGGGGAGCTCAAGCACCTTAAGGTCTGGATTCGTCGGGTCCGAAATGGTGTGGCGGGGGGGGGGGGGGGATGCAGACAGACCGACTGCCTCGGAATTTCTTAAAATGGAATTTACTCTCTTGAAATGTGAAATCGGATCAAGTGCACTGAGTATCTCCATGCAACGAGGTGTTGTGTGTTCGGCTCCTTATTAAACGTTGCACCGTCGCAGGACAGATCCCAGTTGACCAGTAATTAGCCAACTTCATTCAGAATCTTCTAACAGGGAGGACAGGTGTTCCGCCCAGAATCCCCAGATTGACTTTTCTAAAATAAGATACCTGCCCCCTCGCCCCCAGCGCCCTCCCCGACCCCGTAACCCGCCGGGAATCCCTCTCTCGGTTCCCTCCTCCTTTGTTCAAGGGCCCTGAACCTGGATGTCCCCTCTGTTTAGGAGCGAGCGGGCCCGCTGGATCACCGCCCTGGGACGCAGCAGCGGGAAGCCGCCCCTGGACCGAACCTGTGAGTACCGGGAGGGCAGCTGTGCCCCCTGCTGGCCGCTGGCTTATTAGGAGTTTTAAAGATTTTATTTATTTATTCATGAGAGAGACACAGAGAGAGGCAGAGACACAGGCAGAGGGAGCAGCAGGCTCCCTGCAGGGAGCCCGACGTGGGACTCGATCCCGGGACCCCAGGATCACGCCCTGGGCCGAAGGCAGACGGTCAACCGCTGAGCCACCAGGCATCCGAGGGCCACTGGGTTGATAGTCACCGGCCACCACCCCTGCTCCCTGCTTGGGAAGCCAGGGGATCTGAATCCAAATCCAAGGTTCACTCTTTTGTTGTATAAACGTGGCAGTTTAATCACCCCCAGAGGCAGGTGCATCACCGGAGAAGGTACAGGGTGATTGCCAGGATTAGGTTTCCTGTACTGAGAGGCCTCCTCGTGCTGTGAAGCTCTTAGGTTTTCAGCGGTCGGTAGAGGGCAGGGGCCGCACGTGCGAGCCTTCTCCAGACGCTCTGAATCTAAGCGGAAATGCATTTTTTTTTTTAAATTTGCCATCCCTTGTGGCCTTATTTATCAAAGTGATAGCATTGAGGACATGGATTATTTACATCAAGCAAGAATATCCAAGAGGATCCATTCTGCTTGGGGAGTAGGAACCGCTGCAGTCGGGCGGGGTCACGTGCCTGGATGAGCGGCTTCCCCCCGAGATTCCTGCCTCTGGATATTTGTCCCCGGAGGTCAGATGGAGAGAACCAGGGGCAGCGCCGCTGCTCATCCCGGAGCACCCCAAAGTCACAGCTTCGCGCTTAGAGCGGCGGCTACCGTGGTCGGTTTGAGCGTCGCCCACAAAGCAGGTTTCATGTTAAAAAACTAAGAGCTGCCGTCGGTGCGGAGCCCCTGGGGTTACGATGGCCGGTTCCGGTTCAGCATTCTGGGGAGCTGCAGAGCGGCGCCTCCCTGTCCGGGCGGCCGGGGGACAGGTGTCCTGCAGCCGGGCCGGGGCACAGCCTCGGTGTCTGGCCTCGGTTTCCCCACGCACAACGGCTGTTGTGTGCTCTCTGTGGCCGGGCCCGCGGCTCCTTGTCGGGCTGCTGGCTGCGGGGACTCGGGCACCGTGGAAGGCCCCTGGGGCTCCTGGGCGTCTGAGGCAGCGTTCCTGCCTGGGCCTTGAGGTGCACGGTTGTCCCCGCCGCGCTCAGCGTGTCGCCTTCCCCGTCGCAGCGCTGACCCAGGTGGAAGTCGTTCGGTCCTTCACCGCCAAGCAGCCCGACGAGCTGTCCCTGCAGGTGGCCGACGTGGTTCTCATCTACCAGCGGGTCGGCGATGGTGAGTGGCCCAGCTTGGCACAGGAGTGCGTCGCCCGCCTCCCCGGGGCTGCCTCCCGGGCGCCGGCTTCCCCTTGGCAGCACGGCTGCTTGGAATGTTCTGGAACGTGAAGCAGTCACGGGGTGTGTGGTTCAAAAGCGACTGGAAGAGTCCCCCCTTCCCCGTCCCTCGGTGACTCCGTGCTCCTCTCCAGAGGCTCTTCCCTCCTCCCTTAGGGGGAATAAACAGTCCCTTGCCTGCAGGCCCTGTGCCCAGCACCCCCTCCCCGGCCCTGCCCCACTCACAGGCTCGCCAGCCGCCCCCCGATGGCGTCCCACCTCGGGGTGTCGCTCATGCTGTCTTGAGGCCCTTCCCCCGTTGCCCTCTCCTCGCCTCCATCGGCGGCCACACGAGCTGGGGGCGGGTGGGGGGCGGCCCTGCAGTCCCGGGCCCAGGGCCATCCCCGGCTGCCTCAGGAGGCCCCTGCTCTCGCCTGCAGGCTGGTACGAAGGCGAACGGCTGCGGGACGGGGAGAGGGGCTGGTTCCCCATGGAATGCGCCAAGGAGATTACCTGCCAGGCGACCATCGACAAGAACGTGGAGAGGATGGGGCGCCTGCTGGGGCTGGAGACCAACGTGTAGGCCAACGCCGCCTTCCTCGGCCGCAGCCTGCGTGCAGCTCGAGTGGGAACAGCTGCGGACGCGGGGCTGCGAGGCTCAGCGTGTGCACGGCCGATCGCTTCCACACGGGGCTCGCGGGCTGCATGGGGGCCGGGGGTGGGGGTCAGCTGCTGCCGGGCTCACCGTGGGCGGCCGGGTACTCAGCAAGGGTGCTAGATGCCGGACCCAGGTTGGCGCGTTCCCCGCGTGGCCAAGAACGCCACTGGGCCCCTTTAAGGGCTCCTTCGTAGGGTTCTCCCAGGATGAGCAGGAGGTCCGGTTTGGGAGGAACTCCCGGTTTTGTAAATACCTGTGTCGCCTCTTCTGGGTTCGGATTCCGATGCGGAGGATCTCGCAAGGCAGGGCTCCGAGGGGAGCTGCTGCGTTGTTCTAGACCCTTCCCAGGGCAGGGAAACAGACACTTGAATTTTTGCCGCCTCTTCCCTCCTTTGTAGGCGAGATGCTTGCCGTAGAGATTTTCGTTTTAAATCCATCTCACCCGATATTGGTCTCTAATAAAACCCAAGCTACTCAAATAAGATAGAATTTCAGTGGTTCACAGAAGCGAAAAAAATCCTGCCTACAGGAGAGGGTCCTTTTTTTAGATCGTCCCGAATGAGCTGGTAAACTGACGTGAGGCTGCTTTTTCCGCCTTTTACCATCTCTTTATTAAAGATTTTTGGCTGTTCCTCAACAGGAAGTTGGCTAAAACCCAATCTCAAGGTCAAAGTAGGGCTCCCCGAGGTCTCCAGATGCCAGCATGGTACCTAACTGAAACGTACCATTTGGTCTTTAGGGGAGCCCGCTTGATGTGCACTAAAGGTCTTGCTGGCAGGATTTGGAGGACCTTAGCTGTGGATGTCCACAGAACTTCATCTGCTCCACTGGGGCAAGGAGAGACGATTCTCCATGTTCTACAAAGGGAGAAAACCTGGCAAGGGGCATGTTATTCAAGGACTCAGATCTGCGTGTGGCGCGTCACACCTGCCACCTGCCAGCCAGGTACCCAGATCGTGGATGAGGCGAGCGAAGTAAAGCCCCGCGTGGCTGCTAGAAGTGTGCTTGGCTCATACCCCGTGACCCGCCCTCTCAGCAGTGAGCCATGTGGCGCACCCGGGGCCTCTCGTCCCCGGATCACTCTCCTTTACTTACTTACACATTTCTGGGTGTAAAAGACAAGCTAGGCCCTGAGTTCCTTGAGATCCGGGCCCGGCAGCGACGTGATAGCGGTGGACGCGGTAGGAGAGGTCTGCAGGTTGGTAGAACAAGGTGTGGGTCTCCTGTCTCAGGTCACAGGCCTCTTAGAGGAGAAGTTAGGACGTTGTAATCTGATCTCGTGACGTTTGCATTTAGGAAGGAGGAGTAAAGGTGTTGCTTGCAAAGGGATCGTTTTTGTGTTATTTTTGGCTAATATCCATTTGAAGCTAAAAAGCAATGATATGAATCCTGTGAATTAATTTATAAGTAGAGGTTAAACAGTCTTGGAAACGTGTGCATTGTACAAATCACAGCCTTACGTAGAAAGCAGGCCGGTACGGTTCTCGGGTAGTGGGGTCACACGGCGGGGGTTAACACATTCAGGTCCCCTTCCCACCCTCAGCTGTCCTCTTTCTCGGACAGCGCTGTTTTCAAACCTAGTTCAGTTCCTCCGGACGGAGAGCAGCTTGGAGCTGTCCAAGGACTTCATTCCGTGGCCTGCGGAGAACAAAAGTACTCCTTTTTGTCCCAACGAATTGATACTGCTTGTATACTTTTGGTGAAATAAGTGAATTTATAAAGATTTTGTATAGAATTGTTCTTGTGTATCTGTGTGATTTAATTCACTCAAGCCTATTTGCTGGAGATCCACTCAGGAGCGACCTACAGCTAGCGTTAAAGGGCACCGACCTTTCCTTGTGGCGTCCCTGTTGGCATCAGCTGCCCTGAAGGCTGCAGCATTTTTAAGAGCTGAGCCCCGATGGTTCTTCCAGTTTCCACCAAACTGCGCTGACGGAGTGAGTTACCTTAATAGTTTGTGGTTCCCGAGCTGCTAGATCAGACTCACTTTGGCTACTTACTGTCCGAACCTTTGTGAAGTTTTCATCACCTTGTGAGTCTTGGTGGAAGGGGTTGGGTTTTCTGCGCACAACAGATCACCCCAAACGTAAAGGCTTCCAGACCAACATCCACTTCCGGTCCCTCAGTTCCACCCGCAGCGGGAAGGCCGGCACGGCTTGCAGCTTCTCAGCTTAGAGGCCGTCCCAGAGGCCGACACCAGAGCGTCCGTCGGCTGCTTGCTCAGCCAGTGCCGGGCTTTCCTGCTCATGCAGGTTTGAGCCTGTGCTTACTCCTTGCCACGGGGTCCTTCATCTTCCAGGCACCGGTGGCATGTCGAGTCTCTCTCACACTTGGAATCTGACTCCATCTTCCGCTACCAGCTGGAGAAAACTGCTTTTAAAGAAATCGTAGAATTATATTGGGCCTATAGGATGGTCACCCTTAGGATTAACTCCAAACCAACCGATGTGTGACCTTAATTAGATCGTGAGATTCCTTGACCATGCAGCAGGACAGGATCTCAGGTTTAACAGGGGGGGCGGGGAGGGTGATCTTGGGGATCATCTTATAATTAATTCTGCCCTCAAAACTGCTGTAAACTTTAAATGCTAGATGCTCAGTTTCCCTGTATCTCGTATTTACTAACATACGGCATGTGGTAGGAAACGCCAATCAAAGCCCGGTTGGATTTCTACTCAAGTTAGTGATGGAAGAGGGAAAAATACGGGTGCACCTTCTCTGGAACTAGCAAGATACATTCGCCTCTTGGCCACCACGTTTTCCTGGGCCTTTAGAAAGCAGCAGCGGCAGAGCTACTTGGGGCCTGGAGTGCTACATAACGCAGGACAGCGTTGATTAGTGCTGCGGTAACCACCCTTGTGGACTGAATCCCCCCCCCAAAGGGCTTCTTTTGGAGGACATGACCTTGGGGGGGACCTCCAGCTTTTCCCTTTGGGCTTCCAGCACACTCCAAGGACCTGACCAAAACCTTACTCTGGAGGAAACTGGCATTATCTTAGTTCTGTTGTTTCCAAAAACAAATTCTCAAAAGGTTCAGCAAATTGGCAAACATCCCGCATCAGTGATAGAGGAAAAAAATGGGACACTTCAGGGACTCTAGATATTGAAATCATTTGATACACTGAACCATTATAATTGCCATTTTTCACAGAGCTAAAGCCAAACTTTGTAAGGCAATACAGTGCTAACAACTGTAAGAAGCAACAGATAAAACTCCCTGACGGTGGAGGTTACAGGACGCTGCTGAAGTGGGGGAGAGGCCAGAGGAAAGCCCACAAGGAAGCGTGGAGAGCAGAGATACAGAGCACGCAAAGATGCAGGTGGAGTCCGCAGAGAGCAGAGGGAGGGAGCATTGGCAAGGGGACCTTTGTAACCTGTTCTGACCGGTCACAGGAAGCAGGCTGTCCCCAGGGAGGGAAAGTGGCCTTGGGGAAAGTGGCTCTCCCCAGCGGAGGACAAGCCCGGCAGAGGGCTGACGGGTGAAGGCTGTCCTGTGACTGCACTTGTAGTCCAGTGAGGGAGAAATCTGGGCGGAACATCACAATATTCACTACGTGGAGCTAGAGAGAGCCTAGATAATGCTGGAAGGTTTATTTAACCAGGAAGAGATAACAATCCCGTATATGTATTTCCTCCCAATAATATGGTCTCAATATACATAAAACAAAATTTGGGAGAAATACAGGAAGTAAATCCCAAATCATAGGACACTTTAACACTCGTTTGCTACATAAAAGCGTAGAAGTAGATTAAAAGATCAGTAACAGTAGGCAAGACCTGAACAATAATAGGCAGGTAGATATAGGGCACTGCAACAACTTTAAGCATTTACATTCTTTTCAAGAACACACAGCATATTAAAACATTTGACCATTTCTTGGGTCATAAAGTTTGAACAAATTTTAAAGGCCTGAAGTTACAGAGCTCTAGGGCTACGTTTAGGTTAGAAATCCCATAAACAAAAATAAATAACCACTTACTTGGAAACACAGGCCTAAATGTAAAATACAAAACTATAAAACTATTAGAAGGTAACACAGGAAATCTAGGTGAACTTACGCTTGGCAAGGACTTTTATTGACATGAAAAGCATGATACATGGAAGAAAAAAAAAAACTGAACTTTTATTGAACTAAAAAATATCTGCTCTGTGAAAGACAGAAGAATGAAAGATAATCCACAGAGCAGGAGGCAATCTCGCAAAACAAGCATCTTGATGAAGGGTTGGCATCCAAAATACACAAAGAACTCTTAATTCTCAACAACTAGAAAACAACTCAATTAGGGGCTCCTGGCCCATGTTGGGTGTGGAGATTACTTAAAAAATAAGATCTTTAAAAAACAAATCAATTAAAAAATGGGTTCTTTAAAAAGATGAATACAACTGCCACACCTTTCAGCAAAATAAAATAAAAACCACGAGTGTCAAGAATGAAAGAGGCGATTATCATTACAGATTCCTTAGACGCTAAAAGGATAAGGGGATATTTACACTCCTAGAGACTCCTAAATTCAAGTTGGATAAAATGGGCAAATTCACGGAAAACCACAAACTATCAAAGCTCTAAACAGTCCCATAACTACTAAATAAATTGCATTTGTCTAAAGACTTCTGAAAAAGAAACATCCAGGTGCAAATGGTTTCACAGGAGAATTCTTCCGAACATTTAAGGAATCAACACCAATTCTGTATAACCTCCTCCAGAAACTAGAAAAGGAATACGGCCCAACTCATTTTAGGAGGGGAGCGTTACCCCACAAAAAGGAAACTACAGATCAGTATCCCAGACAATTCATTATATGAATAAATACAAATTAAGACCACAATGATCCATGACCCCACATCCACTGAAGGCTAGCATTAACCACCACTATGTAACAACTAAAAATACGAAGAAACTGCTGAGGATTTGAAACACTCGGAACCCCTCCTATATTGCCGGTAGGAACGTAAAAATAGAAAACCCACTCTGGAAATCAGTTTGGCAGCTTCTTTGAAGTTAAACACACTTACCATATGCTACAATGGTCTTAATCATACGTATCTTCCCAAGAGAAATGAAAACCTTTATCTGTAAGAAGCCTCATGTACACATGTTCATAGCAGCTTTATTCGAAACAACAAAAACCTGAAAATAACTCAAAGGTCCATCAGTTACTCAGTTACTCAATGAATAAACACAACTAAATGATAAAAGCGGAACTACCAATACATGCAACAACGTATCTCAGAAGCATGTTAAGCAGAAGAAATGGAGACCAGAGACTAAATATGATTTTCCATTTATTGGAAATCCAAGAAAAGGCAAAACTAGTGACAGAAGCAGATCGATGGTTGCCAGTGGGTAGATGTAGAAGCAAGGGATTGGCTGCAAAAGGGAACGAGGGAAACTTAGGTGATAGGAATGTTCCAGATCAAGACTTTGATGGTAGCAATTACATGACTTTATACAATTGAAAAAATTCACTGAATAAACACTTAAATTGGCAAATTTTATTATATATCAAATAATATGTTAAAACTTAAAAAAACATGGAAGTACATCAAAATGTAACAGTGGCAACATGCTTTGTTCAATTCCCAAGTATTCTACAATAAGGGGGTTATTTTAAAATCAGAATAAAAATGTCATTTAAAAACAATTAGTATATTATATAATTATACCACATGATCACAATTACTTAAAAATAAATATACAGAAACTCAGCTATAAGAGTGGAAGGAAATGTACGATTTACTTTGGTGAGGGGGTAAAATAAATTCCCTCTAAAGCTTCTCAATACTTTCTACCTTTTAGGATAGACTCTGTTTTAAAACTGCAGTCAGAACAGAAAATTACTTGTTGTAATAGGTATAAATGTATCGGGAGCTTTGCCCAAGTTAATGAATTAGGAGGCATTATATGTACTCACTTTGCAAAGACATTTTTCAAAGACTACTTGGTGGTTTCTTTGCCTTTCCCCCCTCTAAGTTTCTGCTTCAGGGTTTAAGAATTGTTCTAGGTATCACAAAGAAAATGAGGCAAATATATTTTTCTTTTTAACGTCTTAAGTAACTACTACTAAATAACAAATAGTTCTTAGACTAGGAATAAATTCTCCACTCAGTAATACACTATTTTGTAAACAAAAGAAACAACACAAATAGCACCTTCAATCAAGATTTCCACCCGGATCGGCTATGCAGAAGACAGAAACTGGGGGTGACAGGGACTGCTTTAATCGCTCTCAGGAGTTCCTTTAAACAATTCTTCAGGAACATTTTCCTCATTCTTCTGGAGGTTTAAATACTGGTTTGGGAACATAGAACCAATTAACTAAAAATTCCCCCCCCCCTTTTTTTTAAAGTTTCTTTAAAGGTTATCTTTTAAGTTTCTTTAAAGGCTATCTTCTAAGAACAGTCTGGCCCACTGTGAATTTAAACTGGAGAGTAAAGGGAAGAAAACACACAAACAGACACATACTTACAGAGCAAGCAGGACCTAATGATCACCTTGAGTTTAGGGACAAAACCACAATATCGTGATATGACTTGATTCAAGAATTCAGCAAGAGATCACTTTTGGGAGACTAGCTAAGAGAATGGACTTAGGACACACAGTACATTCAAAACCTTTAGAAGGCAAGGATAGGTTGACATACATTCCCAGAAGTGGGAGCAGTACCTGAACCAGTGCTGTTACATAAGATCATCATAGCATCATCAATAAATCCCAGTCAGTTTGACACTCTTCCTTTGG